TAGAAAGAAATATGTTCTCTTCAGTGAAGACAGTATCTATATTAGTTTCCTGAGGCTACCATAACAAATTACTAAAAATTTGGTAGCGTAAACAACATAAATTTATTCTGTCACAGTCTGGAGGCCAGAAGTTTGAAATGAAGGTAATGGCCGGGCAGTGCTCTCTCTTGAGAAACTAGGTAGAATTAATGTCCTTCCTCTGCCAACATCTGGTGGCTGTTGGCATTCCCTGACTTGTGGCCACATCACTCCAGTCTCTGCCTCCATGACCACATTGCTTCTTGTCTTCTGTCTGTGTCAAATGTCCCTCTGCGTTCCTCTCATAAGGACCCTTATTGGATTTTGGGCCTGCCTGAATAACTCAGGATTATCTCCTCTTTTCAAGATTCTTAATTATATCTGCAAAAACCCTTCTTCCAAATAAATAATGTCACAGGTTTGGGGAGCTAGGAGATGGACAAATTTCTCTTTTGCAGGGGTTCATCATTCAACCTATTACAGAATTCTCAAATCTGATCCATCTTTATATCTCCACTGTGTCTAACAGTGCCTTATATAATAGGAGTGCAACAAATATTTGTGGAATAGATGAATACCCAGTAAAGTAACATGTTAGTTCAACCCTAACCACTGACAAATTGTTCATTGAATGAACAAATTGTTAGTCTGAAATAACACAATCAGTGGATTGAATTAGTGTTGCCAAGATAAAGCTTTTAAGCATTGCTGATACGAAAAGGAAAGGAGAATAATTGGTGGATTCCTCGTATAAATCTCTAAACCAGATAAATTACTTACTGATATTTTTTAAATCCTTTTAAATTCTTTATTTAGACACTTTTCACTCTTTAATCAAAGAGAATTTTTTGTATGTTTCCATTACTGTTTCAGTGTATTCTAAATACTTCAGTGCCAGGAGTGCTGAAATGTCTGATGGCATTATTCTTATACAAAACAAAATAAAACTGACTCATATTAAGTTTTTTTGTTTTTGTTTTTTTTTGCGGTACGCGGGGCCTCTCACTGTTGTGGCCTCTCGCATTGCGGAGCACAGGCTCCGGATGCGCAGGCTCAGTGGCCATGGCTCACGGGCCCAGCCGCTCTGCAGCATGTGGGATCTTCCCGGACCAGGACACAAACCCGTGTTCCCTGAATCGGCAGGCGGACTCTCAACCACTACGCCACCAGGGAAACCCTCATATTATGTTTTAATTCCACGTTTATGAACATTTCTTACAGAGCACCAGATTTGTATATTCCCAATAGTAAAGTGTAGATCATTAATGATTTAAAATATGGCATCATTTTGCATGAAATCATCATCTATTTTGTAGGCAGATATTGTAAACAGCGTGTATTGCAGCTTATAGTAGATATTTTAAAAAATAAACCTACCTTTATCTTTTATTTTAGCATATCTACATTTTTGCAATACAGAAAAAACCTGTTTAAAATAATATCTTAAGAGTGAGCAACACGTTACACCCTTCAACAGTATTCCATGCTACATTATCTCATTAAACCACATAACAACCCTGAAAGGAAAGTAAAACCCACCTTATTCAAATACATAATCACTGACAAGGTTCTTTTCAGAATGTAGTATTGTAATGATCAATAAAGTCCCTTTCACAGAGGAAAAATATTTATCAGAACAAATAAAGAACTTTTTTTTCTACAGAGCTTCTTAAAATCCAAGGTCTTTCCATTCTGTCCCAAGATAAAAAGAGATGTGACCTAGAAAAAAATCAGTGGAAAAGATACATCTTTGGAATAACTAAATAATGACTTTTAGAGTTGGAAAGAGTCTTGGAAACCCTGGAGGGCTCAGACTTAGTTGTGTCTCTAAGGGGCTAAGTGACTTTTCCAAAATCACAGGGTTCCTGGAGAGTCAGAACCACAATGCAAGTCTCCTGATTCCCAGTCTCATGAGGACACAAGGACAGTGAGAATCTGCCATAGACTTCAAGGTACATCATCAGTACCTCGGAGCAACCAGGAGATGTGACTGTATAGGTCTTGTGTGTTATTTGGGTTCAGGAAGAGGGGGAAAGCAAGTGTGCTGGAGGTGGCTCCTACCAGCTGCAGTAGCCACTTGTTAGTATCTTCTCAGCTCTGTGTTCACCGATGTCACCTGGTATATTGAGTGGCCAAGGTGGGAGAATTTATACAATGGAAATGAACAAACGTTACAGATTAGGCCTTTATTGGAGGAGGGGGAGAGGATAGCCAGTTGTTATATTTTTATCAGTTTACCACTGTTAAAACCCTCTCTTTCCTACCTCAGTAAAAACAGTGTTTACCTTTGATTCCCCAGACACCAGATACATCCAGCCTGGAATGCCATTTTGTCACCGACTGTTAGCATGGTAAACTTCTAGTTATCTCCCGAGTCTCAGCTCAAAAAGTCCTCTCTCTCTCTGTCTCTCTCTGTCTCTCTCTGTCTCTCTCTGTCTCTCTCTCTCTCTCTCTCTCTCACACACACACACACACACACACACACACACATACACACCACACGCCCTCCAGTGTAGACTTCTTTGTCCTCATTATGCTCCATAAATACCTCCACCAGGTCAAGAAAGATTGGATTGCAAACATATTAAATGTCTATTCCCCCCCGCCCTCCCCACACACACACAAACACCAGACTGTGAGCCCCTTGAGGGCATGGACACAGGAGTTTCTTCCCCATGGTCTCAGCACCTCACAGAGGTAGACGTTGGATACCTTAGTGAGTGGGTCTAGAGTCAGGTCACAGCTCTTTCCTCCTGTCCACTTGCTCTAGATTGATAACTGTAACTGGCCAGAAGATAGAACAGTTTGGAGGGAACTTGTGAACGAACAAAGGAAAATAGATATCCTAGGGCAGCAGAGGACCACATTTTACACACAGTACTCCACTCCATCAGGCATCAAGGAGATAAGAAATTGCATGAAAGGGTATGTGTTTGCTTCTATGTTAACAGTTATCGCACTGTATTGTAATTTAATTATCTGTCTCTTTATTAAATTGTAGTCTTCGTGGGGTTTGGGACCGTGTCCTATTCATTTCTGTGTTCACGGATCCATCTCAATACCTAGCCTTAGGATGAGTCCTGAACCATCAGTGGCTCCAGCTAAGGGCCACTTTCCACTTTCTGCCACCATCCTGCATTTACCCCACCCCCCTAAGAATTAGAGGGAGAAGTATCAGGATGCTTTGGGGGAGAGACAGTATGGATTGACTGCAGTGTGCCCCAAACTGGGACCTGTGCACACCCTGAGACTTAAACTCCAGGAATGGCTGACGTCTTATCTCTAGTCAGCATCTGGAAATTTATATTTGATTTTAAGGAGGGTACTGCATCTTGGAAAAGAGATCTGCCACCTCCAGAAATCCCAGGTTTCCACTGAGCACTGAGACAGGTGGGTAGCACAAGGGGTGGGACAATCTAAGACTTCACCTAAAAGAAAAGAATATTTGGCTCATCTCCCAACTTCAAAAAACACAAAACCCATCAGCCTAAAGAAACATTAGAAGTTTATGATGCGGAAATAAGTAGCTTGTGGGTGATGCATTTCCACCTTATGGCAAGGAAGCTATTAGAATGGAATGCTCCCCAGCGGATGGGACCAGATTAGACTCCATTGCTACCAGCCAAACCCAGCTCAGGAAAATGGGCAATTGCATGCAAATGGGAAGTGATTAGTATCACCTCCACTGTTAGACTCTTCCCAATGGGAAGGTGACAGAGCATTCATCTGCAACAGACTATTAGAAAAAGCAGACATTTGTCTGGGCTTTCTTTTAAAGATGTTACTTTTTGTCTGCATCTTTCCCTGAATAGTGTTAAATTATTGTTTCATTCCTTTATTTAGCAACATTAATTTAGCAAAGTGCTCAACCCTGCAACTCAAAAATAAATAAAAAGATCCTTACCTTCAAGGAGTTTACAGACTAGTGGGGAAGAAGGGTGAACAAACAATTGAAAATTACGACAATGGAGTTATGCTCAGATGCTAGAAAGCAAGAAAAGACGGGCCAGCTAAATAACACTTTGCTTTTAGCGTAGGCACAGGGGGAAAGCGTCCGGCCAGGTGGGTAAGGTGTCTGGAAGGTCAGGTTTCTTGGTGGATTCTGTTATTATGGTGAGTCCTGAAGTGTATGCAAGAGTTAACCAGGCAGAGAGAGGCTGGTGCACCAAGGCATGAAGGTGAAAGACAGAGGGTCAGGCTGCAGAACCATAGCTCCTCAGACAGGATAGGGGAAGAGAAAAGGCACAGGCAGGGGAGAGGCGAGGATGAACTGGCTCCGTGATTCGATCCCAGGAAGACCTGAAGGGATCCTGCCCTGCTGAGATTCTTTTTTAACCTAAAGACAAAGGTAGTGTTCAAAGTATATATTAACAATCCATTATCAATCGAAATACCCAAATGTGGAATTTGTATCTGGGATGTAGTCTGTTTTTCTTTGCTTGCTTTGTTTTTGTCAGGGAGAAGACAAATGGATACTATTTTTAAACCCTTTAAGTATCAGTGCTTCTAATCTCATAGGTATCAGAACTGCAAGAGACCTTAAAGATTGCTTAATTCAATCTCCTTATTTTACAGATGAGGAAACTGATCTCTACAATGGTCAAATGACTTGCTCAAGGTCGTATAAATAATGAAAGCAATAGAATCCATTTCTCTTTAATCTCAAACCCTTTGAGTCTGTGAGAGAAATTTAGAAACCAGCTTGGTTCTCTGAGTGAGCATCACTTCTTAGGAAGTTAACCTCTTCCATTAACTCTCAGTTTATAAGCTTTCACTTCAGGTGCTGCCCTTTACCTAACCTCTTCTCCATATTCCAGGGTTAAGTTCATTTTGTAAGTCATGAAACATCTCCTTCCTGCCCCCACCTGCTATGCCCACTCTGTCGGATCCCCTCGGCATACAAAACGCATAGAAATAAATCCTTACCCACCAAGCATGGCTCAAAGAGGCAGTCCGCCAAGATGTTGGGGTGATATGGTTATATGTGCTTCAGTCCTCATTAAATCCTTTGGCTGAGTTTTTCAGTAATATTTAAGTAATTGTCTCTGATGTAAATATTCTCTGGAGCTAGGAGACTAACACACCTCAGAAGACCTCTGAACCATTTCCAGCACCAGCCAGGGATCTTACCCTTTTCTATGGCCCTCACTTCTCCCAAACTAGGGAGGCAGTCTAGTAAAAGGCAACTATTTCTTGATCTAGTTTTCTTCATTTCACAACTTTGGGGACATCTTTACCAGTCCTTGTAAAGTTTGGTACTATACCATGGTTATCATTAAAGGTGAATCAGAATACTTTTTTTTTTAATTTTGTAAGCTATTTTAAGGAAGTATTTCAGATAATGGAAAATTTCAGCTAGGCTGGCTTCCTTTGACAAATCTCATATCAGAACCACAATCAATAATAGAGTCTTAAAGACACCCTCCTGGAACAATGTGGAAGTGTCCTTGTTTCTCTCAAGAAAAAATGACCAAAACTCTGGTATATGCAACACTCTTAAGACGGCAGCTGTGGACTTGACCATCAAAACCCGACTACAGCCTTCACCACTTCATCCCAGCAAGTGAAGACTGGAGCAGGTTGAATAGTCATCCAAGTTTATAGAGCAAGTTCAGTAATTACTTCAAGTGTTATCTAACACGTAGTAAGTAATCAAGATTGTTTGTAGAATAAATGAAATGAAGAGTAAGAAGGAGACTTGCCAAGCTTGAATTCTCCTGACACAGAGGTATACTTGTAAGCCGAGCATTACATGTGTGTTCCTTGGAGACTATATGCAAATCATGTCTCTTAAGATGTGTGTGTAAAGTTGTTGCCCTGAACTTCTCAGCATGAACTTCAGATGCGAGAGTCAAAAATTTGTGGTGTGGGCTTCCCTGGTGGCACAGCAGTTGAGAGTCCGCCTGCCGATGCAGGGGACGTGGGTTCGTGCCCCGGTCCAGGAGGATCCCACATGCCGTGGAGCGGCTGGGCCCATGGGCCATGGCCGCTGGGCCTGCGCGTCCGGAGCCTGTGCTCCGCAATGGGAGAGGCCACAACAACAGTGAGAGGCCTGTGTACCGCAAAAAAAAAAAAAAATTTGTGGTGGAAACTACATAGATGTTTTCAGGCCTATTGCCCACAGAGTCCCATAAGAGAAAATGTTACGCTGAGAGTCTGTGTGCTCACGCTCTTTACCACTGAGACTTGGATCCCTGCTTTTAGAAAATCCTCCAGGGAGAGCATTTGCCAGCTCCTTGGATTGGTTAATAAAATGGAGTTCTTTAGGATTTTCCCTCAGGCACTATGCTCAAGAAATCAGGTACTGATTGGGCGGTTATTTTAGAAATGTGATTTCCAAAATGCACAATGAGGAAATAACATCTTGCCTAGAAGATGTTAATTTTTTTCCACTGATGCTTGGATTCAAATCTCATTCAAGATCTAGGCTTCCTACCAAGTTAGAGACACCCTCAGGTCATTCTAATATTAAAATAATGCAATTGTGCATGGTCATACATGAAAATACAATTTAATATAGGGTGGCAATGAATACAATTCAATACACTATGGAGTACCTACATGTATTTGTGGGGAGAAGGGGTGGGGTTGGGAAAATGATAAAGGATGCCACTGAGGCATTAGGCTGGTACAAGAACACAAAGGGCCTTGAATACCATATAAAGAATTTGGGATTAACTACTCCTGCCTTCATACTCTCCCTGTTCTGTAGTCAATGTCACCAGAGTATTTGGAACACTTTATTACTCTCATTTATTAATGTTTGTCTTTTCCTACTAGACAGTAAGCAACATGAAGGTAGAGCTTATATCTAAGCTGTCTTTTTTTCTCCAGTGCTAGCAAGGTAACCATTCCACAAATATTACCTGGTATCATTATTTCTGTTACAGAGATTCAAAACAAGGTTGTTTTAGGAACATATTTATTGGATAAATTAAGGCATGCTTTATGATAAAAATGAACACAAATAGATGCACAGGGAGAGAAAAAGCTGGAAAAAGAAACCCAGATATGTTCATATTTGAACGGGAGATTTAGTTAATAATGTATCCAAAAATTTTTTTAAGTTTTGAACTATTACTTCCCAAAGGTCAAAGATTTAATTTTCAAAAGTAAAAAGTTGACTACAAGAATTTTTAAAAGAAACTAAATAGGGAAACTTTGGGAGGAGGGAGGAATTTTTCCAGCACCCTATTGCCTTGTGTTGGAAAGATAAATAAATTAAATAGTCAATAAGAAAAAAAAAAAAAAGTGACTGGAGAGTCTGAATATCTGGTGGGGGGGACTATCTGATGAGGTGGGACAGGTTTAAGTGTTTCTCATACAGTGCTCTATAAAAGTAAAGCAGAAAAGGAACTTTCACTGACCCCAGGCTTCCTCTGTCACCATAAGCAGTTCACTTCAGTCATGTGGGATGTACAGCAAAATTCCACAGGGTAAATGCTATTTGCTCGTTGACCTTTACATTAAGATTAGATTAAAAGGGGAGTTAATGGATTCTGCTGTGCTGCTTGTACTAACCAGCTCCTGGGGGAGTGTCATTTGGGCAGATTAATCTTATGGGTCATTATAAAGTTAATCCATATAATATTCTAAATCAAATTTTACTCCATATACCGGTACAAGATTCTCCTCAACCTAATGAAATAAGATCAGAACTTACGGACTCTCTCCCTTACAGGGAATGTTTCATTCTCAACTCAGCCAAAACAGAAATAGCTGAGTTCTATGACTTTTCCATATTTGGGATTTGGGGCTAACAACAAACAAATAATAATAAAATAACAACAGCAACAACGATAACATAATCACAATCACAATCGCTTTTGAGCACCTGTTATGCACCAGGAACTTTGTTAGGTGCTATTCAATAAGAATATTACTCCTGTTTTCCAGATGGGAAAGCTGAGTCTCAAAAAAGTTAACAGTATTTGCATGAGATCAGCTAGTAAGTGATAGAGTCAGAAGTAAATCCCTCAGTCAGTCCAGTTCCAAAGCTTGAACTCTTTTCATTATGGCACTTCCTGTTTTGCACCCTTTTATGTCCTTTATAACAAAGGGTTCTATTCAAGTCAACAAATACGGCCAGTATTTAGTATGGGTCAAATCCCAGTGAGGATACAGGAAAATTCACAAGCCACTGGTAGCAAGGATCTTGGTAAGACCATGAGGAGTTAGCTTGTTTGGGGTGATATTATTATAATGTTAGATGAGTCATTTGGCTTTATTGAATTTACAGGGGAGGCAGAGTTCAAGAGAAACAAAGCAGCATATGGGAGAAGAACAAATGCTTTCTTTGGCTCTGTCTGTAATTTACAAAAGACCACAATCCCATCAAAAGGAGAAACAAACAAATCTACCAATTCATAGGAGATAAATGGCAACCTGAGAATATGTGTTTCCTGAGATAAGCTCTAATATACTTCCTCCAACAGATAGAGAATAGGGATTAGAATTGGGGGGAAAGAGAGGAATGTGTGTGTGTGTGTGAGAGAGAGAGAGAGAGAGAGAGAATGGGGAGCAGGGGAGCTTTTGTTTGTGTCCCCAGCATGTTTACATGCTTAACAGTAAATACAAAGAGCATGTCATCTCTTTGTATCAAGTCGTATCAGCTGAGGGTTTGAGGCCAGTATCATCTCTTCTTAAACTGAGAAACCCAACCACATTAATGAACATTTCTTACATTTGTCCAAAATTTTGCATTTTTAAAAAATATTTCTTCAATTTTTTCTCCATTAGAACCTATTACTTCTTATTCATATTTAAATACATTCTGAGTAATTTAACCCAAAATATAATTTTTTAAAAAAAGAAGCAGAATGTAGGCAAAAGAGCTCAGAACAGAGGGTCAGAAACTTAGATTCAAGTTCTTGCTCCAGGACATTCTGGAGATATGTGTGACCCTGGACAGTTAGCTTAGCCACTCTACCCATAAGTTTCCTCCATTCTAAAATGCGGTTATTGTAAAGTGTGATAGGCTCCTGACTGATGAAATAAATGAAAAGGTAATGAAATAAAATAAACATGTTAGACAGCATTTGTCTATCATAAAGTACTATACAACATAAGGGACTATTTTATTATTCACTGTTTAATATGGGAGATATTAATCATGCCCAGCTTAGAAATATCTATCTCTCATTCAATAAAAGGATTTAAATGATACTATAAATCATTCATGGGAATTTCAACATCATCAGAACTTTAGCTGAAAAGTCAAAATTAAAATATAAAAGCATGTTTACTTTATTGGCACTGAATATTTTAGAAATTCTTCTACTACCCACTACCCCAAAAAAGTGAGGTGGGATATAATTATTTCTAATGAGATCCTCAAGATATTTATCAAATAGGGATCAGAATTTTGATTCATTGTCTTTAAAGTCATAGGAAAACTTTTAACCATAAGTTAACAACTGAAATTCTTTAGTTTTTAAATGTCTAAATGGAATGAAATTTGACAGGGAGATAGTATAGGATGATATTTAAAGCATATGATTTTAAGGATATCAAGAAAGCCTCAACCCATCCACTTGTCCTCACCCAAATTTTCTCTCCTACTCAAGATAACTTTTTACTGTCAGCAAGTTTTTATTTTTCATTTTCATTTATTTTTCATTATTTTTCAAACTGCACCATAGTTTTTTTGCGTACGTAAAACTTTCTAGGAGGACCTCACATTACAACTCATGAAGGCGAGCTGGAAAGCGCCAACCAGTTAATTGACAAGAGAGGACAACTTGTTTTTAACCTGCATTTAATTAGTCATTTGTATTGAAAAGGACGATAAAACCAGACACTGTTCCTGTGGGCCCTAGATCCACGCCTGATCCACACCACCCAGCACAGATACAGGACAAGGGAGTGCGGATGCACTTGTCAGGAGCTGCTGTCCCTGTTCCAACACACTCAGGTGAGAACGCCTCAGCCCAGACTAACAATGATTTGCCTAATGCCACTCAGCCAATCCAGAGGTCAGACAAAGAAATTAAAAGCAAAGAATATCCAGCTTTTTAAGCTGCAAGTGCAGTGTTCTTCTCCTTCTAATATATTCATTCACATCACAATTTGATTTCATTTTATTAGACCACTTTTTACTGTGACCATATGAAAAGAGGCACTAAATAGTGAAAAAGAGTGAGGGGAAAAATGTAAAACTTCTGAAGTTTTGGGCAAAATAGTTTTGTCTAGGTGGTCGGCCCAAACTCATTATGACATACTTTATTTCCAAAAGACAATAAAATACCAAAATGCCATGAATCCTAAAACAAACGTATAAACTACAGGTGCCCACAGAACTTCATATCCTGAAATGACGGAGCAATTTGCATAAGCAATCTAAGTAAAAATAGAAAAATGTCCTTATGGCATTTCCCAGACAACTGATCTATGTGATAAGCCAGAAAATAAGTGGGAAATACTGCATGCCTCTGCTGTGTTGTCAAAGATGAAACATATGAGAGGAAAGTGTTATGAGCAAAAGAGGGGAAAACCCTGTATCTGAGTTTCATAAAAATGGCTTATTATTGATGTACGCATAAAGGCCTCACATCTAACTTCCGTGCACGATTAAATACATTAGCTGATTTTGCAAGATAGATTCCCATATCCCACTGATGAGGATCAATTGACTTGTCTGGTTTATTTAACAATAGCAATACACTTAATCATCTACAAGCCTGACTCAGAACTTTTTTAGGCGGCACACATTTATTCTGACTTAGAAAATGACAAGTCCTCAGTTTTCAAACAGTGCTTTATTTGCCTCCCAAACCTATTCCTAAGACTTACTAAAAGGAAACGTTGGCCCCCGTGGAGATGTTTGATCCATACATCCAGGCATCAACCCTGAGTAATAAGTGACACAGAAAGAGGGCCCCTTCAAATGCCCCATGCTCGGCATGTCCAAACTGGGCACCTGGACAGGGCAAATGTTTATTACCAGTGCCAGTGCCTTGCATACCTACCTGAAGGGAGCCTTTAGAAGGACAAAAAGTTGATTGACAGGAAGGAAAAAACCTAAATTCTCATATGCAGTATACCACCCACAATCTTTTAGAATTTAAGCATAACATAGCAAACATACTAACATGCCCAATACAAATATTTTATTTGAAATGTTAGGTGAAGAACAAATTACAAATAATATCATATCATAACTTGATAGAGTAGAAAGTGCATGGCTTTTATAGTAAATTACGGGTTTAATTCCAGGTTCAGTCACTAGCTATGTGAGTGCAGGGACATTGTTCAACTTCCATGAGACTATTTTGCCTCTATAATACCAACCATGCCAAATTGTTATAAGTGTAGAAATTATATATATGTACTATATTGTTCGCAACTGGTGCTGAATGTACATTATTATTGTCATTAAGATTGCAATAAGATGCCGGTGTTTTTATCCATTTCTAGAGGACAGGGGAGGGTCTATTGGTCTTGACAGGGTAAGACTCCTTCATTCTTTTTCCTGCTCTTGAGTTGAATGGACCCTTTCTCAGCCTTGATCTGACACTGTTCAGAGTTCAGCCTTTGCAGTTAAGCAATGTTTGATTTCAATTGTACAACAGCATTTCTATTTTCAAAAACTTTAGATGTAGGTATCTTTTCAAACAAAATCTCAGTGATATAAAACAAATAAAAGTAGAGCTGTTCTGCCGGAAGTCTCCTCAACCCCAACTCGCTCTCCTCAGCGTTCTCTAAGACACAGCCAGAACCCTCAGTAATGTTTGAACTATGTCCAGTGGTTCTCAGCCAAGGTGGTAGTGACCCTTGGGGGCCATTTGGAAATGTGCACAGGCCATCATGATGGCTGAAACAGTGGTGGGCAGGGACACTATTGGCAGTAGGCTGGGAATGAGGAAGACAAACATCTTGCAAAGAGAGGGATGCTCCCTCCCCACAGAGGGCTATCACTTTCCATCTGCCAATAACACCCCGCTGAGAAAGCTCAAAACACTCTCCATTCCTCCTTATTCTTGCAGGAGCCCCATGAGGTGGATGAATTAATCCTGCAATACCCTCCACACAGTGCCCTCTACTCAGCTCTGCTTTAGCATGAGGGCTGTTATCTATCTCCTTGGCTTGGAACAAAAGACTGTCTTCTAGGTCAACTACCTGTAAGGCTCTTTAGTCTCAAAATTGTGACAACTATAGCAGGGCCGAGCAGAAGTCTGAGGCTGAGAGAGACGATGTATCTTTTTCCCAAGGTGACACACATAAGATGGAGGACGTGGATCTATTGAACTCCAAAGACCATTTTTCCACACTCCAACAAACTGCCTCTCAAGCAAATGACACTAATCTCCATGTAACCAACAGATGTTATGTGCTAAGCGCTGTGAAAAATCCAAAATGAAATGAAGGCACAGTTTCTGCTCACAGGAAGCTTACAGTCTGGTTGGGGCTATGGGACTACAATTCTGACACAAGTTTCAATGTGTGGGTTTTTTCCTCACACCAAGTGATTCTTGGACACCAGCTGAATATCCTACAATTCAACTTTATTCTGACAGTATCTACCCACAGACAGCATTGCCTATCAATACACAATGAGCACCAGTTGTCACCTGTGCTTCTGCACCACTGGCTATAGATTGGAGGTTCCACCAACTGCCTCCTTGGACTTGATTAGTTTACTAGAGCAGTTCACAGAACTCAGAGAAACATTTTACTTACTAGATCACTGGTTTATTATAAATGTATATAACTCAGGAACAGCCAAATGGAAGAGAAGCTTAGGGCAAGGTATGTGGAAAGGTGTGCCAAGCTTTCATGCTCTCTGGGGTCAACACTCCCCAAATTTCCATGTGTTCAGCAAACAGGAAGCCTTCTGAACCCTAACCTTTTGGGGTTTTATGGAGGCTTCATTACATAGGCATGATTGACTCAATCATTGGCCATTGGTGACTGAACTCCTCCAGTCCCCCTCTCCCCTCCCCAGAGGCAGGGATACAGAAATTTCCAACCCTCTAGTCACCTAGTTCCCCTGACAGCCAGCCCCCATCCTTAGGAGACCTAAAGTGACTTTGTTAACATAACAAAGGACACCTTTATCCCTCTCAACACTTAAGAAATTCCAAGGGTTTTAGGAGCTCTGTGCCAGAAGCAGATGAAGACCAAATATACATTTCTTATTATAAATCACAATATCACAGGACGTAAACCTCAGAAGCACAAATACCAACACAGAAAAATTGCTATGCACCTTATTAGTTTAGAGGTTGTAGAGATCATTTAGGGCAGGAACCATCCAGAGAACTTCATGAGAAATGTTGTACTTTTTCTACTACAAAGGAAGGGTTGGATTAGAGGCTCAGCAAACTTTTTCTGCAAGGGGCCAGATAGTAAACATTTTAGGCTCTGTGAGCCACACAGTCTCTGTTGTAACTACACAACTCTACTATTAAGCAAAGTTGAAGCTTAGTAATAGCCAGAGAAAGTATGTAAGCAAAAGGGCATGGCTGTGTTCTGATAAAACTTTATTTACAATAACAGATGGTGGGCTAGATTTGATCTTCGAGCTATATTTTGTCAACCCTTAGATTAGACTATGGACTTAATTTCAAACCTTAGTCTGGCCTTTGAGGGTTTTCCAATTGGATTGGAATCTGCCCTTTCCATCTCTGTTATTCCTCAACAAGTAAAGGATATTAAGGAAGGAGTTTCACTTGAGTAAAGCAATGGAGGCGAGAATGGGAAGGTTAGGTCCCACATAGAGAAAAATTAGCTTGGCTAGAACAAAGGATTCTGTTGAAGAGGAGAGAGAGACAGCAAGAGATTTGAGTCCAAGGCAAAGTGCCTTGAGAGCCAGATTAGGGGATTTATATCTTAACCTATAGGCAATCAAGAACATTTTAGGCATTTAAGCAGGAAAGAGAGATATTTGTATAAGATTAATATTTTTGAGATTAGGGTTTCTCTTTAAGCTTCCTAGCGGCAATACTTACTATATTTGTGGTAGACATGGAGATGCACCACCCAGATACCCCTGCATGGAAGGACTTGCTGTCCAGATGAGGTACCATCTACAGCCAGCCTTCAGCTGTCAGCTCCTTCAGGGTCTGCCTCTACTCAGAGAGATGGCTTTGCCCGAGGCCAAGCCATTCCCAGGCAGCCCACACCTGATGACTGAGACAGTCAGGTGTAAAGGCATCTCGAAGGACACTTTAATGGGCAATATTTGTTCCAAAGCTAGTTGCCAGATGGTCTGAGGCTTTGTGGGGCCTGCGACACAGTTTAACCTCTTTCTCTGCCCTGTGCTGCTTCTTGCAACTTTCCCTGATAGGTATACATTTTATAACATTTGTGGGTTGAATTGTGCCCCCCCCCATTTACATGTTGACACCCTAACCTCTAGTACCTAAGAATATGACCTTATTTGGAAATAGAATCATTGCAGTTATAACTAGTTAAGATGGGTTCACCCCGAAGTAGGGCAGGCTTTAATCCAATGTGACTTGTGGACTTATAAAAGGGAAAGCTTGGACACAAACATGCACACAGGAAGAATACTCTGTGAAGATGAAGGCAGAAATTGGAGTAATGATGTCCAGGCCAAGGAATGCCAGAGATTGCCTGCAAACCACCAGAGCTAGGGGAGGGGCCTGGAGCAGATCTTTCCCTTTAGCCCTCAGAAGGAACCAACCCTGCTGCACCTTGATCTTAGACTTCCAGCCTCCAGAATGGTGAGACAATACATTTCTGTCATTTAAGTCACCCAGTTTGTGGCTCTTTGCTATAGCCACACTAGGAAACTAATACATACCCCAAATTTCATCTCAGTGTTTACTGCCAGAGAAAACAATCTGTGACAATATTATTTTAATAAAAAATTAAACTGAAAATGCTAAACAATAATGTGGCATGACCTAAGGAGTAAAAAACAATCTTAAAGAAGGTTTCATGTAGACTATTAATACATCAAGTAAAAAACCTTCAAATTATTTTCATTTACATAATGGACGATTTTTGTTATGTATGTTTCTTTCTTAAAAAAACAAATAAAACATAAACAGAGGCCAGAGCAAAAGTAGAGAAGCAGAGGTAAGAACATGGGAGGATAATCAGAAGCATAATAACAATATTTTCCTAAAATATCGAAAGTATGGGTTGATTAGGAAACATGAATTTGCTGATTGTGCTGAGTATTCATAATGTAGAGAGAAAATAAATGTTCTAGGTGAGAAAGTTTTCTTTGGTCTATCTTTAGATAGAAACCATTGTGTTCCAAATTGTTTAATATATTCAAATCATGAACTTCCTACTAAGCTTATTCTGCTAGAGGCAGTAGTAAAAGATGCTTTCTTTGTTCTAAAATGCCTAGACTAAACATAATGCAACCAACTTGTTTCCCCTATAAAAAGACAGATTCTTCAAAAGTTTTATTTGTGACACATACTTGTAGTTCTATTACACGGCAGTTGACAAAGTTTGGTATTACCATGCTCCAAAGGTTTGAGTCTACTGTCACCCAAGCAGATCAAGTGTTAAAGAAGACGAAAGAAGTAGGGAACAGAGTATGAAAAATTCAATATGACCATCTGGATTCTACCTCAAGTCAACCTCAGATGAGTATGGGCCCTTCAGTAAGTTACTTCTTCTCCCTGATTGTCCATAATCTCATTTGTAAAATTGAGGATTGAACCAGATAACCTCTAAATATTGGTGGTTCTAAGATTTTGTAACAGTGGGCAATGAGCAAAAGAAAATAAGAAACACATGTACAGGATTTAAGGGAAATGCTTGCAGAGCACCAGTGTACAGCTGGAAGCCATGCCCTTCCACAGCCCACCACAAACCCTCATGCTCTGGCATGAGAAGTCCCGCCCTCTGCATGCACAGAGCAAACTAGATTGCTAATCTCACAACACTCACCCTTTCTCACCCTCCAGTGGTCATGTTCTCTCCTTCAAAGGGAACATAATGGACAACACACAGACCTTTTAGTAAAATAGGTCTGGGCTCATGTAGTATTTTTTTTTTTACCATAAACAAGAGGTTCCTTTGAGCATATAATATAAATTCTGTAAGATTTTTAATCCTTGTTGATAAAAAATAGATGACAAAGTGAATTATATCTCATTAAAGCTGATTTAAAAACAAATGATGACAATGCCTACCTTAAAAGGTTACCTTGAAGAGTGGTCATGATAGGTGTAGAGAATCTGAAGTTAGGAGGTATTTGACAAATCAGCAGCTACTAATAGTCTCCTCATGATAACATATGTTAACATGGGCATTTTAGAGTATTTAATTCTTTTGCTAGCATTTGCTTACTTAATTTTCTCAACAGAATTAATCAGTCTAGAAAGCAAATAATAAAGCTAAGGAGATTTCCAAGAATGTACCCACAGAGCACATAAAACCATGAAAGTATCTTCTCTTTCTCTCTCATGCCTCAGCTGACTGGGGAAATAAATCTTCAGTAAACATTTCTGGCATCAGGTGATATTTCCAAGCATTGTATTAGGTCTCCAAATACCTGTGTAAGTTAATTATCTTCATGAATATTGGTAATTATTTGTAAAGTGTGCTCCTGAATCTACTTATAGCATCATGGAGGACTCAACAGGAGGGCAATAGTCTATTTGCACTCAAAATGGACCTGAAATAAGTTATCTGCTATATGTGTACCCTAATCTTTTCACAGGAAAACAGGGTGGTTGGTAGGGGGTGCAGGTTTATGTTAGTGAAGAGTTTTGAGGTCTTTTAAAAATCATTGAGTATTAGACCTGAAAGAAAATATAGCAATATAGTAATTTAGTCGACGCCTCATTTTTATTTGAAGTACCTGGGGCACGGGGGGTGAGGGAGGTTAGATGATTTATCCAAGGTCACAGCTTTGTAGTGGTGCAACTTCATGGCCTAACTTCCCAGTTAGTGTCCTTTCCACATACTACCCTGCTTCACCATGACAAAACAAGATAGGAAATAACAACACATACTTCATATTTTGGGGCCACATTGACATCTGGATGTAGAATCTTATATAACCCTGCATATTTCCTCTCATCCTCACCTTGATGCTAAAGAAAATGAGAACAGGTCAGAAGATATAGGCATGCCCTAAAGAACGATGTCATATCATGGGAAGAGCATGGGCTTTGGCTCCAGAAAGATATGCGTTTAAATGATAGCTCAGTGCAACTCTGAGCTAATTATTCAACCACTATGATTCTCAGATCCCTGTGGTTCCAATGCAATGGAGGTAACGCCTATCTTGAGGGCTTTACAAGGGAGCAGAGATTGCACATGTAAGGATTCTGGCACATAGTAGGCATTCAATAAATGTCAGCTATTATTGTCCCTGAGGCCTTTCCATGGTTCAGCCATTTGGTTCCCTAGTGCCCCCACAAGGCAGTGTGGAAAGGATTGAGAATATCAAATTGAGAAAAACCTTGAGCTCAAGTCCAACTGCCACCAGCTGCCATAGTTAAGAGATCATGGCCTTGTTCTAGCCTTGGTTCCTGTCTGTAAATGGGAGCTAAATTCTACTGTCTCCAACAGGTTCTGAGCTATCTGGGGATACTTTTGTTTCCCCAGTGCTTTTCCCAGGGGCTTACAAAAGTCTCACATCAATCCATGAGTGATGCAAGAAGAATAGCACAGAGGAGTCCAGGGCAGGGGCAACTGCTGTCCTGTGTCTCCAACCTGTCCCTGGAAGGCTCCTCAGGAGGCATTCTCTTAGCCACCTTGAAGAGCCCTGCTCTGAGATGTCAGGAATGCTATTGTCTTTGCATTGCTCCATTTCAAACACATACACCTGGCACAGAATTCCACCACCTTCATGTGTCCAATTTCACGTGAAAAAGTTACATTTTCTCAAGAAAACAAAGTTCATGTGCTTATGCAATAAAAATACCTTTCTTGTTCACTCATTTCCTCCTCCATTCCCAACCCCCATATTGCATGCCTTGGTGTGATGTGAAAAAGCTGTTCTCAACAACTCCTCCCCCTGACATCTCTTCATTCGAAATACAGCATGACATTACTAACCAAAAAGACATCTGCCATCTGGTGAAGTCCTATTTTTACTGCAAGGAACCTAAAATATTAATTACCTTAAAATAGCAACACCTTTTTGTTTTATTTCTACTGATCCTCTTGATCCTCTTTTGTAAATTTC